AACATGAAATCCTGGGTTTGTTTGATTTGAATGCGGATTGAAAATACTTACTTGTAGTATTGTTCATCATTTTCACAACAATCTCGATTGGTTTGGTCTGAGTAGAGATGTCGGCCATAGAGATGTTGCTTTTCTTTAGAATAGAAATCGATTAATTGGCCCCCAGCTTGTGGGGCTCGAAGCGCTAGAAACGTACATGTTGTAAGGAACTAATGTCTACAACAGCAAGCTTTCTGGATTCTCTTCAAGAAACCGGCTCGTGATTTCTTCATTTTTTGTCGCTGGGGGCCAAAGTCTCTTCATATTGATGAGGACAGACTTAATTACCGATAACCTCCAACACTCAAAACCGTCCCCATTCATAAACAGCTGGAAGAATCCAGCTTGTCTTCATGTTAAAGTGAACGGAATATCTGAATATTTCTTTTTGCATCACATTTTGACTCTTTACAGCACAAACAACAATAATCTGCTGCCGAGTCATTGACGAAAACCATCACTTGAAAAGCCGCCACTTCCCGTGCGTGTTCTCTCCGGGGGCCCAACTTGAATCCTCCATCCGGCTCAGGGCCAAGCCGACCTTGCACACCGTGAGCCCGTCCATGTCGACCTGACACGCCACATCCACCTCGCCAGAGCGAACGCTCCGGTTTCCTCCGGTTCCACCGTCGAGCCGATGAGTCAGGTCCTCGGCCCCCGTTATGAATGACGAGCGCGCCACTACCGACGGGCCACGGAGACGAGAATCCAGCGGACGTGTTCCCATCAGGCCCCGCGGCTCTTATTGCTGCGCCTCCACTAAAATGCTTTTGTTTTGCTTCCGTTTCACCTCCTGCTGTTGTAGTTTTACTCGCAGCGTCATTCCGCGCCGCCTCCGCCGAATATTAACGGCGTGCATGCTTAATGGCCTCACGCCCCGGCCGAAGCCCGGCCCGGGCTCCTCCTCTGAATGTTAATCCACCGCCTCATTTGCATACGCTTAAGCGTCAAATCCCCCCCCCCCCCCCACAAATCACCGCAGCCGCCTCCGTGTGCGGCGAGGGGGCCCGGGAACAACGCGTCCGCGGCGTCGAATCCACATCAAAGCCCGTTTAGATTGCCGGGTCACAGCGGGTTCACGCGGTGCAAAGTGAAGGTAATGGGATAGCAGACGGCCCCCGCTGCAGGAATACAGCCAGACAGGTAATAAGTATGAATGCAGCGGGTAATAAGGTCCGGATGGAAACAGACCCCGAGTCATCACGGGCGCGCGGCGGTTTAAGCGGCGGCGCGGTTATCAGGTCAAAGGTGAGAGCTGATCTCGGGCGAGGAGTGTGTGCAGCACTTGTTCTTTTTTTGTTCCTTCTGATTTGTGAGTGCGCGGCGGGTGAAGAGGTTGTTATTGAGAAGGAAGAGGAAAAACAGCCCCTTCAGCACGTTTCACCTAAAAATAAGAATGCTTTGTTAGCGGCAGACAGCACGACATGATATTAGATGGGTCTATTTGGGGAATTTTAATCAGATGAAACGTTGTCAGTGTTAACTACACCTCCCAAAAGGAGGGCATTGTGTCATCTTCATCCCTTTGTTCAGCTGGAACAACCAGGCAGTTCACAGAATGACACAACTATTTTAATAATTGATTTAATCATCCCTTTATGTCGGCCTTTTAAAAAGGTCCGACGCGTCAGTTTGTGTATGTTTTGGAGGCCTACACTTCACTGCAGGTCTCTCCGCCTACACTTCTTCACTCAGAGCAACAGCTCCAGGTCCACACAGGACGTGCTCACCTAAAAGTAAACTACCAACCACCATAAAAGCACCAAACACCCCCCCGGATGGACTCCTACCTCGTGTCTATAACAGCCAACGGGCGTCCAAGGGCGGATTCGCCTCCCGGGAAAGTTCATCTCCCTGACTTTTAAAATCGATTTAACAGAACCAGCAAACATTTCCTGTAAAAAGTTCCATTCGGTGCAGCAAACACTGTGTGTCAGACCTCCAAGCAAAAGAGTGAAACCGCGTCTCCTTCTAATTTAAACACGTTGTTATTTCACCCCCTGCAGGATTCACCGTCTGCTCTGCTGTAGATGTCACTTAGACTCGTGTAGATCACAGCTTCCTCTGGGGGGACGAATTCTCCTCCAAGTGTCGAGTCCTCGAGGCCTCGAGTCCTCGAGTCCTTGAGTCCTGCGCCTGAGACACCAGCCACGCAAATTCAAAAGCACAACCACCAATTTCTACCCAGAGAATGAGTCCGTAACGGGTTTTTAACACGATGATTACTACCACTAATGTACTTGTTAATGCTTTGTCCAACATGATAAAACATAAAACGTTAAAATATTTAAAAACCCAGTTAGCGACAAAATGAAGGCAAAGTCAAATACGTTTCCACATACTTAAAAAGTAGAATTGTAATGATTTGACGGAGAATGATTAAACTGTGTACATGTACAGCGCTGGGCTGTAAGGACAATGTCAACAAAACACAGCAGTAAAAGATTGTATCATTTCAGAAATGACTTAACACAATACTTTGATAAAATTCCAGTTCCCTGCCAGTTGTTTGTATCAGACACAGACGGATATGGATCTGCAACAGCTGCTCGCGGCAAAACCTTGATGAAATATTCAAGACAGCCATCCACCATGACAATTCAGCTATTTCCCTCTAATGGAATCCAGATTTTGGACAAGAAACATTCCAAACTTCCTGTTTTCGTAACAAAAAAAAAATCCTCGTGACCCTGAGCTGATACCGAGGAGGTCTGAATGTGAGCCGAATGCTAAAGCCGTCCTGCAGGAGTCGGACGGAGCAGCGAGAAGCGGCAGAAGGACCCCTTCAGGCGAGCATCGTCATTGCGGGACCAGCGGCCAAAACTCGCCCCACAGGAAGTGAACCCTCTGCGCTACGACGCTTTCGTGTTTCTACACAGGTTTCACCCTTTTTTTTAAAAACATTTCGGTAAACTCTCAGGAGTTAGAAGGAGACAATTGCATCTTCTACAAGGATCAGTGTAACGGCAGATTCCCACTACAATATTTCACCTAACCCTACAGTATCATTCATTTTCATGCAAGAGGATTGTGTAAATTGACGGCTACAGTTTTGCATTTGGAGGATAATTGCTGCAGCATTTTGTTAAAAGCCTGAACTGAGCCGTATGGCACATCTGGATGCAGACAATTTTCAAAAGGAAAGCATTTATTTCCCGCTATAAGTCATTACTCCTCTCTCATTATATTCACCACCTGCATTTCAAACAAACAGCGAGCACCTTGCTAAAGAGAAGACAGATTATACACACCAGGAGGAGAATGAAGACGCTATGAACACCGACTGCAACAAAAAACAAATTATATTCTCATGCAATTATATCATTGAGTCTGAGGAGATGGAGGTAATGGTTCAAACCGATGTGTGGCCACCTCATGTTTGTGTGTTTTTAACATCACGTGCTGCACACGCTGGTTCCGTCCTGCCGTGTGTGCGTGCGTGCTGGTGAATTTGTGCGTGTGTGTGTGCGTGTGTGTGTGTGTGTGGTGAATGCACTTGGTTGTGTGTAGCCGGTGTCGAGGTGCACTGGGGCTTCGGACCACTCCGCATGAATAATGCATCAGACCGGGCCGCTGCATCTCGGCAGCATCGCCTCGGCCTGCTCAAAGTTGCAAGTTCATCTTAAGGAAAGTCTCCATGGCTGCTGCAGCAACGGCACGGCCGATACGGAATCTTTTAATTATGATATATTCATCCAGAAAATATTTTAATGTCTCAGTGGGAACAAAATTCCAGCCGTCAAGCATCAGGCTGCACTATTATGGAAAGATCTACATATAAACTGTTGACTTATAGACTGTTAATGTATTTTATAAGTGACCATTCACTGGTCCTCTTATTCTGCTCTGAAATTTGATGAATATTTTTCGGTTCTGGGCTGCAGGTCGGTCTCATCTAGACATCGGTCGAGGTCGCCCACACTGGGAAGCGGTGATAGAATTCTTGGCCATTTACTGATATTCCACCAAACCAAAGAAAAAACGATCAACGACCAATTCAGAAACAATTATGTAGCCCAGTTACATTTGTAAAAGTGAACAGTTAAGCATCAAAAAGGTGCCTTTTTTTTTGCATCGAGCTGCTCTCGTCCCATAAACATGCGTCTGGAGGACAACTTCACACGGTGGATGAACTTCTTAAAGGCGCGTTTACACATTCAACATCACAGAACAGATGCTGGGGACAGATGCTTGTCATGTAATTCACAGAGCGATCATCTAAGATTTGGTCTGAATGACACAACTACGGCATCAGGACACTGACACCGAAAGAAGTCACGCTGGAATTACATGACGATCGGCCCGTTTGGCAAATCAGGGTCTCTTTTCATTGAGAAAACACAGCGATGAGTTAAATATTGTGAATCCTGCCATCAAACACTTTCCACAGTGGGAAAACTTTGCATCGGTGTCGATCTCGAGGTGTTGCAGTTTTTAACCAAACACATATGCAAATATGCGAATAAAACAGGCAATATGCGAATATGTACACACTCATATTTGAATGCACGTGAAACAGATGCTTATTGTCATATATGTAACTGTCTGCACGTCATCTAAATTTCATCTTAATCTGACGACTTTTCAATTCTAGATAAAAAAATAAATAAGATAAATGTCCTATAAGCAGTTTCACCTGATTTCTCACTTTACAGGTGAATCACCGCATGAATGAAGTCATGAATTCCCCCTTTTTGAACAACTTAAATATCCTTTTTGTGGCGACTTGATGGTTTTTCTTACAGCGGATTGTTTTCACCCCGCAGCCTGTTTACTTTCCCCTCAGGAATGTTTGCCACTTTTTTTTTTTGCATCCGCGTGGACGGACCGCGATACCGACCCGAACACCCGAACTCCCTCCTCTCTCTCTCTCTCATCCCGTCCGTCCTCCACGCTCCCTCTCCCACCGGTACCGGTACCGCAGCAGCAGCTACACCCCCCCCTCCCCACGGTCGGCTCACCTCTGTGCGCGTCTGCAGCCGCTTGTTCATCTCGTAGATCCGGTACTCGGGCTGGACCATGTAGGGCGCGTGCCTCCTGTAGAAGGGTCCGAACGGAGACGAGTAGAACGGGTCGTGGGTCGGGTTGGACATGGTGGCTCCTGGCGGGGCGCGCGGCGCGATCTCAACATCCAGCGGGCGCAGCGGCAGCGCACATCCGAGCGCGATGCTCTCCAAAGACCCCCAGCAGGAAGCAGCCGCGGTCGAGTCTGAGCTGCACTCTGCAAGTTGGCCTGCCTAGTTCGCCGCTATAGCGTGGTGCTGGAGGAGGAGGGGGGGGAGGAGGGACAGGAGAGAGAAGGGGGGCGGGGGGGGGGGGGGGGGGGGGGGGGGAAGTCGTTTCCTTGTTCCCTCAAGACCTACACTCGGTCCTGCACTCTTGCGAGCGAAGTTCAAGTGAGATCTCTGTGTGCGCGTGTTCACGCGCGCCTCTTTGTGTGTTTGCATTGTTTGGCTTTACTTTACGCACAGACACACGCGTGCATTTGCACATGCAAAGTCGCCATAAGGTTACAGAATGAAGGACAAGCATCTGCATATGTTTTAATGATACAATTAATATGGTTCTGTTTAAATGCCGGCTATGAATTTATGGGCTCAACATATGGACTAAAATAACAACACAAGGCGTATCGGATATTTTTTGTTTTTTTAGAAAACGTATTTCAATTACTGCTTTTTATTTATGTAAAATATAACAGTTAAATCCTGAATAAATAAAATAAAATCCCAAACAAAAGTGTGGATCTTCAGTGTTATTAAAACCCTATTACTAATATCGCAATCAATCAAGTGCCATTTTTCCTGGATTTGGAAAAAGAGTCAAATCTTTCTGTTTTATGTATAAAAAGATATTACATTACATGTCGTTTAGCTGACGCCTTTATCCAAAGCGACTTACATTGTATTTTTAACCCATGGTTAAAAACTAAATGTAATCAATGTCTGTAAATTCTTCCTCATGAGCAGAAATCTAAACCCTGAGAGGGCCGAGAGCCTGCGGAGCCACACAGCTGAAGAGGCTGCCCATTATGTGTGTGGCATGATTTCATAATAGTGTATTGATCATCTTTCCTTCAGTCAATGTTGCTAATGAAAAAATCCTAGTAGCTGCTAGTTAGGCACCATGTGGCATAATGTGGGAAGAGGGAAATTTGCTGGTTTGCTTTCTGAAATCCACAATGTCCCTGTGAATCGAGTCAGAACATGTGAAAGCCATCAGGTGTAAATCAGTCACGTGTGAATACTGGCAGGTCGATAATAGATGGTGGTCAATGTGAAGCGGCGGTGCAAAAGATTCGCTAATTTCAGATTTTACATTCAGCGGTTCTTTGGTAGCACCAAAGAACACATCTACTATCTAAAATACGAGTGCTAAACTTTCTGCATGCACGTTTCCGTCCGTTTTTAACCACACTTGTTGTTCATGACTAAGCCTGTAATGGGCGCCGGGGTAAAATGAAGCTCATGCAGAGAATCCGTTGTGTTTTTGGTCACCCGTTGTTTAGTGGTTCTTTCCAGAGGAAACGGCATTCTTGGCACAACAAGAGAATTGTTTTTACATTTCTACCCGTGGTATCCGAGGGTATTATACCAGAGTACCGTCTAAACTCAGAGAATAAAAGATTCCAGCGCACCGCCCACACAGTCTGATTGACAGGCGATCTCTGGAAAAAGAATCAAAGGTCACAATAAATCGTTTAAAGGAAAATACAGGTGGCATAGTTCAAACTGTCTCACGTTAATCACCAGCAGAGGACAGAACATCGCTGTAATCTGAATAAGGACCGCTCTCTACTTCTGCTTCAGTTTGTGACTTCCTACATTTGGGCCTTCAGATGAGAACACGTCTAAGCTCGTGGTTGGTGGGTTTATAATTAGGTTGAAACAAGTGAATGCAGTGATGATCAGATTTCACTTCATCAAATCTCAAAAATTTCCCATAATTCATTTTAATTTCATTTGAACGATTTTGTTATTGAATGAACATGAACCATTTTTTTATCGCGTTCAGTCAATATAAGATTTAAAAAATCAGTTTCTGAGGACACTCGTGTGCTTGGTTTGCATACTATTTGCTTAAAATTGCAGTTTGTGTACCACGACACATCGACACAGTGTGCAGACTGGCCGGCTCGAATTCATTTCACCAATTTTACACTACACGCCATGCAGCACATGTCAATAATATCATTTACTGTGACGGCATGTGCCACTAACATGTTGAATTTGTGAACCCGGCCCAGCAGAGTGCATTGGAAATATATTTTTATTGGCACAGCGATTAAAATTTCCTCCGTGTTCTCCTCTGTGACAGATTAGTCCGGGGCTGCAAAGTAGCTACAAGAATCTAAAAATAAACATTCAGACCAGCAACAACGATGCAACCGAATCTCACATTAACTGCCCGCACAGAGAATTAATGAACAGCATTTATGAAGTCTGACTTTTAATCCAAAATGGCTGAATGGGGAGAGGCAGTCTGAATCGAGTGAGATAAAAGTTGTAATCCAAATGCCTCAGGCATCCGGTCGGGTAATTAAAAAAAAGTTTGAAAAATCTATTAATAAACGTTTAATTAAAAACTACATTTTTAATATCTCAAGACCTTTTCAATTGACATTTCTAACAGGATTTGGTTGCTCGCCTGAAGCGCTTACCACTCGAGTGTGGCTGCAACACAGCACATTGATGTGAACAGCTCATTTAACAGATTTCAACGTGGATGTGCTTCGTATCGTGCACACGATGGTAAACAGGAGCCACGTGTGAGGCGAGGCGGCAGAGGGCCGGCTGACCGGCCTGACGACAAGACTCCTCCCACTCTACTCAATTAAGACTTTCATCTAAAACCACACATGTTCAGATTGGTGTTGGAGCACCACGGATGTCAAAAGGCGAAGGCTGCGTCTGGCAGCAACAGTGACTCACGGATCACTTGAGACATCGATGACAATAACCGGTGATTCTTTGGATTTTTCTAAATGTGATCAAATCCCACCAGAGACCAAAAATCTGAAATGTGCTGGTCCTCCTAACAAGTGTTATCTGGTCTCACTCCTCCGTGCCGTGACGCTCCAATGTTGTCGATTAAAAACACATCAGCGAGCCACGCGGCTGCACAGGGTGACATAAACGCACACATGAACACACACACACACACACACACGCTGTAGTTTATTCTGACTCAATCCCACATTCACCGTCCTACTGCCCCAAATACTCACTAGAGCACCAAATGTGGATTAATCCACCGCTGAAAATAGTCCCAAACAAATGCTCATTTGACTCCCATTTCAATGAGTTATCATAAGAACCAGGACATTATTTATCCTTCATTTTTAGTTGAAATATGAAAATGTGTGGATGAGACCTGATGTGAAAGGTTTTCTATATGGGATCAGCAGGGAGAGTAAAGTAGAGATGCGTAGAGACGGATGAACACGTCGTTGTTGTGTTCGTGGGGTCTGTTGACATTTAACGATGAATCCTTTAAACCCATTTAGGATCAAACGCATGAAACAGTTTAGGAGGGAAAGTAACAAACAAAAATACAAACAACTGTAAAACAAATATTAACACACACGTTTGAATCACTTTAAACCTGACACATGGACCTGTTATTGTATTTAAAAAGAATGAACTGATCGTAGTTCATCATGTAAAATATTCTCCTTGAACGTCTAATGGAAACTGAGGATTATTTGTCATTTCCTTTCCATCTGTGTGAGTGAGTTTTTCAACTTTGGTCGACCGAATTGAAAGAAAATATTCCGAGGAACTCTTCCATTTCGCCACTATGAACTGACCCAAGCCTGTCGTGTCTTTGTTAAGTTGAATAGATGGAACTGTTCTTAATCGCTAATAACTTTGTTTCACATACCTTCGTGTTCATGTTTTACTCCTCGTCGCATCGTTTATTTTTTTTACCCTCAGCGACAACTAAGTTGAAAGGACAGGGAATTCAATTGAACTGAACTGAATAGGAAACCAAATGCACCTTGAGAGTTCGAGGTGTTGTATCCCGCGCTCGCGTGTTTGCTGAATGTCTCATTTGTTCAACGCAGAAAACGCATCAAGGATGAAGCAGAGCTGCTTTTAGTTGGGAAACCGCGAAGGTGAGGGATACAAAAACACTTGTGGATGGCAATGGAAATGGGTCAGGACACATATAGCCACTCTGCTTCTGCTGGGTTCCCTCTCGCTGTTACTATGGTAACGCACCCTATCTCCCTACCTACCTACCTGCCTGCCTGCCTGCCTTTAGCGCGCAAACTACACACCCATAGCAGCCGCGCCACAGGTTTTGCACCTGAACGCACCGATGCTGCTCGCGTTGGAAGGTTTCCTTATCCTGCTTCAGAGCGTGAAAACGTAAAGCTGTAGCTGCGTTTGATGTCGCTGCTTAACAGTCCCACTCATTTGTTGTTGTTGTTGTTGTTTTTTGAGTGAAAGGATGCGGCAACGTGCGGAATGTTTGTCATATTTCAAAAGGCAGGAGGAAGAATTGTGAATTGAATTTAAAAAAGAAGCTTGCAGGCAATTGATAAGTAATCATGAGACAGACGAGGAGCTAAAAATAGAGCAGAACAGTGGAAAGACTGCTAATAAACCTCTGTAGTCTGCTGGTTGAGATGCAGCTCAGTTTAAGCAAGTAAAGACTAAACCTCTATAGTCTGCTGGTTGAGATGCAGCTCAGTTTAAGCAAGTAAAGACTAAACCTCTATAGTCTGCTGGTTGAGATGCAGCTCAGTTTAAGCAAGTAAAGACTAAACCTCTATAGTCTGCTGGTTCAGATGCAGCTCAGTTTAAGCAAGTATAGACTAAACCTCTGTAGTCTGCTGGTTGAGATGCAGCTCAGTTTAAGCAAGTAAAGACTAAACCTCTATAGTCTGCTGGTTGAGATGCAGCTCAGTTTAAGCAAGTAAAGACTAAACCTCTATAGTCTGCTGGTTGAGATGCAGCTCAGTTTAAGCAAGTAAAGACTAAACCTCTATAGTCTGCTGGTTGAGATGCAGCTCAGTTTAAGCAAGTAAAGACTAACCCTCCATAGTCTGCTGGTTGAGATGCAGCTCAGTTTAAGCAAGTAAAGACTAAACCTCTATAGTCTGCTGGTTGAGATGCAGCTCAGTTTAAGCAAGTAAAGACTAAACCTCTATAGTCTGCTGGTTCAGATGCAGCTCAGTTTAAACAAGTAAAGACTAAACCTCTGTAGTCTGCTGGTTGAGATGTAGCTCAGTTTAAGCAAGTAAAGACTAAACCTCTGTAGTCTGC